CGCCAGAGCTGGGTCATCCGTCAGCATTTTCTTTTCATCCGGCTCCTCTGATCTGTGAAGTTAAGACACGCTTAGAAATGGCATCTTAGATGAAACACTGAGTGTCCCCCACTGAGTGTGGGAAGAGTTCTAACAGAAAAGGGTAAGTTGTATTTTCAGACTTTGTGCCCTGTCCAAACTAGGCAAGAGCTGGATTTAGAGGAAGACAGCAGTATGTTGCCCTTCGGAACAGCTGCCTAGATCTTAAATCATTCTGCTGCTCAAACAGAGAGCAAAAGCACGTTTCTGCTTCGGGAACCACCACTGTTTCGTTTTTCTGTGATTTAAAAATTTATTTTCCAACCAATATTTTAGCTCTATGTCTATTAAAACTAATATTTTAGTTTCCAAACATTTTAGCCAAGTGTAGCCCTGTTTAATTTATACTTTCAGTGATTAATAAACAGCGATTCCAGTTTTGCAAGCAGTAGGTTTAAAGCTGAAAAACATACGTATGTATATTCACAGATTAAAGAAGAAACCCCCAGTCTCCAAGACTGTTCTCTGAGTATTTTTAAAGCTCTTCCCAGTGCCCAGTACCAGCTGCAGCTCAGCTCAGCACACGTTGTGGCCACCCCGGGCCGTCACCCACCCAGGCAGCGACACCCTCGGGGCAGAGGCTCCCTACCCGTTCTCTGCTCTCCTCTTCAGGGAATCCTGCTCCTTCAGAAGCGCTTGGTGCTCATCGTAGGCATCCAGAAGCCTGAAGGGGACAAACAGAAAGCAAGCTCTGCTCACCATTTTCAGAGAGACAGTTTAAACCCATGAGCAACCATTTTAAAATGTCTACTTGAAACTAAAAAATACAAAACCAATCCAAACCAAACTCTATCATCATCAGATTTTGATCGGTGATCCACCATAACGATGGGATTTGATTCCACAGTGCAGAATTTTCTGTTAGCTCAGAAATTCCCAACTTGCTCAATTTTTATCACGCTTCGGGCAGGTCTTTTACAAAGTTCCTGTATAAAAAGGTTTTCTAAAACGGCTTCTTCCAGTGGCTGCCTCCCCTCAGCTGCCTGCTGATGCCATCCATAGCACCACTGCTATTTAAGAATCAACATTTCTTTAAACACTGGAAATGGGTATTACATAGCACTGTCACAATTCCAAAGTAGCACCTACAGCCTTTTCCCAAACCACGGAGGAAGAGCAAATGTATTTCATGCAGCACAAGAGAGTCCCAGCTAAAATTCCCACAAACAGCTAAATATGGTTTCATCTGCTGCACGCTGCTTCTGTCGACACGGCTTTTGGTGAAAACCCTTTCCTGTACTTATTCTAGGCTCTAGTATTATTTGGGAACTGAAATTTTAATTTTGTTTGGACTCTCTAGAATCCCAACCTTGCCAATGCCTGGCTGCCACACGAGGTAGAACAGTCAGTTAGCAGAAATTAAGGACAGCTATTGTTAAAATATGTACAAAGCGGAAAAACTAACTCATGGTTAGCCCGCCCAAGTTAATTATCTGCAAATGTAAATAAAACCAAGAGCTTGCTTTACAACAGAGAATTAAAAGGTAAAAAGTATATCTAGTATTTAACTAAAAAGTTGCTCTCCTAGCACCGATGCTCCCACACAAGTGTGCAGCATCGTCAATACTTCTAGAGACATTCAGATCAAATCAGGGCACTTCTGGAAACCTCAAGCAGCAGCTCACAGGGTGGGGAGCATCGAATTATACCCGGGCCACAAAACCCCTCCCATCCTTTTTGAGGAGCATCCTCCTCTGTCAAGGCTCCGCAAAAGAAAACCACAGTGAGAAGTTACGGGCAAAAGAGTTCTGCTCCACAAGGCGTTAGGTATTTCAGAACAAAAAAGGGGTAATTTTCTTAAAATATATTTCTATTTAAAAAAGGGGAATTTGGTTTAGAAGAGCCACTATCCCTCAGAGAGCTGATGGCACACAAGTAAAAATTTAACGGATGCCACTAACCCTGCCCCTTCCCTACTACTTCTCCCAGCACTCTCTGGGTACATCGGTCACGTTAGGTATTTAATGCTGAACGTATACCCGAACGTTAACATCACAGATATACGCTAAAATAGTCAGTTAAAAAAAAAAATGTTCTTTTTACAGTGGTCATCTTTGACCCGCCGTGTCTCACGGACAGATTAGAAGTGATCTAACACCACAGACAGGGGCCACGCTTTGCTCATCGTGAGCTGACAGCACTCGGAGCACTAAATATTGCTGTGGTTACACAAAACAATCTACGAGCACTGCCTACAGGAGCAATTCAGGTCACATAACATTTAAGATTCTAAAAAAGGAAAAACTAAAGGTATGAAGCACATTGTGATTCTGATGCAAAAAAAAAACCAAACCCAACCCGCGAGCTTCCAGATTTGCAAGCTGCAAATATGGCAACATCAGTTTAGAGGGACTGGTGTCTCCACGCAGTAACGAAACCTTACATGCAGTTACAATTCCTGTCATCATTGTTGCCGTATTTTTTTTTTAAAATGGTTCAGAAAGAGAGAAAACCAGGATCTTTTTTTGTTTTAATACAGCAAAGAGGGAACACATACTTTGTCAATTTCTATGGCTTCTGACAGCACTTTTCTTGCCTTTGGAAGATTTTTCTGTACTTTGAAGAGGTGTCGAGCTAATTTGATGGCATAAAACGACGATTCGCTAATTGATTTGGCATTCCTAACAGCATCCTCGAGCAGGTGTTCAGCTTCTTCCATGTTTCCGTGTCTGCGCTCTAAGCTTACTCTTCGCAAGCGAATCATTGCTAGCCCTAGAATACACTCTTCAAATGTTTTCAAGATTCTTCTTGCTTCATCGATGTTGCCTAAAACACCGGTGAAGATGCTGTCAGGTATGAGACATCCAACAGCCTCTTAAAACCAGAATCCCTCCCAGCAAAAACTACCCTCGCTCTTACCCTGCTGCTCCTCAAAGGCAGCCCAGAGCATGTGGACCATTGGTTTCTTAGGAAGATGTATTGTGCAAGCCCTGCTGTAGACATGCCTCACTCCTTCAATAC